GTCAGTGGGCATTAAGTTCGATGATGAAGTTCAAGCTTTACTACTGCTATCGTCTTTACCTGATAGTTGGTCCGGAACGGTTACAGCGGTTACCGGTTCAGTGGGGCCTGATGGATTCACCTTTGATCAGATTCGAGATCTCGTTCTTGGCGAGGATGTCAGAAGAAAGAGTTCAGGGGAGTCATCTGGTGAATTACTTCATGTTGGTAGAGGCAGAAGAAATAGCAGAGGTAGTGGGAGCAAGAACAGACAAAGGAGTCAGTCGAAGACTCGTGACAGCTCAGGTGTAACGTGCTGGAAATGCAAGGAGGTAGGGCATTTTAGGAATCAATGTCCGAATGATAAGAAAGTAAACATTGCTCAAGGCTCTACGAGTGACGAGGAGGTCGCTCTAACTTGCTGTGAGGAAAACAATGTGTATTCCTGGGTCATGGATTCTGGTGCTTCATTTCATGCTACCCACAGCGATGAAGCATTGCAGAATCTAGTTTTTGGAGACTTTGGAAAGGTACGACTAGCGGACGACAGAGCTCTTGATGTGACGGGCATGAGTGACATGGTGTTGAAGACCTCAGTCGGTCTATGGACTTTGAAGGATGTCAGAGTGGTTCCAGCCTTGAAGAAAAGTTTGATTTCTGTCAGGCAGTTGGACGAACAGGGACACGAGGTGAAGTTCAGAGATGGGCAGTGGAAGGTCGTGAAGGGAAATCTTGTCATGGCCCGCGGAAGAAAGAGTGGTTCGCTGTATATGGTCGAGTTACCATCTGAGGGAGTGACCGTCCCAGTTCAGAAGAAAAACAAAGTCCGGTTCACAGAGTCTCGTGGGCAAAATAAGGTTGTCTGTGCAAGAGAGAAACTTAGAGCCACTGGTCAGACTCAGGATGAACGAGCGTGGAAAGGTTCAAGGAGGCCAGTTAGAGGTATTTGTGGCAGTGGGAGCTCAAGAGGCGCTTCAGCCAAGTTGCCTAGAAGACAGTGGGTCAGGAGAACCAGTATTCCAGCTGTTGGAACATCTCCAGAAAATTTCTTGCTGAGTATGGAGAGTGTTTGTTCTCAAGATGTTCCAAGATCCGGCAGTGTGCGTCTGCAGTGGGAGCCGGTAGGGACCGAGGACGAGTCAGGGGCAGATTTTGCCGTGACTGATGTGTTGGAGCTTGGGAGAGCTTCAACGGGCCTTTCAGTTTGTCTGATGTTAGGGCCGCTGCAATAGGAGAGCTGAGGAAGATTACTCGATGTACAGGGAATCGTGGTGGATGACAGTTGATGGCTATCAAGCCTCCAAGTGGGAGAATGTTGGGTTTGTGGAGGCTTGGGCTTGACTTTTGGCCCGGCCCATTTTACGAAACCCTAGATGCACTCTTCCTATATATATATATTGCATTCTTGTACTTGTAATGTACACCACAAGTGAAATAAGAAAATCCTCCCGTTGCAGCCGTGGATTAGGGAAACCGAACCACGTTAAATTCTTGTGTGTCGTTTGTGTTCCGTTTCTCTCTTGATTCTCGCAGATATTTGTGTGTGTTGCGTGTTTAATCCCCAACAAGTGGTATCAGGTGTAGATCAGCTAGGGTTTCAAAGAGATGACCGACTGTGAAGTACCTCTGTCTCATTCTTCATTGTTGTTTTGTCTCCACCTTCAATGCAGGGAGCGTCACCGCTGCTGAGGAGGCCAACTACCATTGCTGCTGTTGCCGTGGGTCACATCGTCACCGTTTGTGTGCGAGCAATCGATAACCTTCCTCCAAAATTGACTTATGTTGTACAGGGGGAATAGTATAATCAGATGTACGTAATAATTTGAGGACAAATTTGGGTCTGTCGTTGGGCAAGATGCAATATATTTAAGGCGAATGTCAGATTTCCATAGCCGAAAATAATATTACAGTACCAAATATACTTTCATGGCTTATTATTGCCTTTTGTTGTAGGAGCAGTGTTCAACCCAAAGTTCTCGCCATCTATTGGATGTATTGGTAAAAATGATTAGCAATTTTCTCCTCAAGCCACTCTCGGATCCCACTTTTTTGTGTATCTTCTCTCTTCATAAACGTTTTTTTTTGCAAAAAAAATGAAGCTCATCTGGGTAGATTGTGTGTACCCTTATATTCATGTTAATACGTTCAAATTCAAGTGCCAATCTCAGTCCATCAAATAAACAAGCTTTTGGTAGTATTAAATATGAGAAAAGTTTAAATATTCTATCCATCTAAAAATTTCCTTTTCCGGTTTGACTTGGCATGAAAATTAAAAAAAGTTAAAAAGTGTAAAGGCCTTCCATGTGTTGCCCTAAATGTGATGAAATAAAGTGAATAGTCTAATTAAAAAATGTGGGTATAATGACACATTCATTATTTTTGCCAAAATAACAAATGGAAAAGAAATTTTTGGACGGCTTTCAAAAGAAAAGTAAGAAAGAAATTAATGGACTTAGGGAGCATGAACCAAAAACTCATATGATGGACTTATTTAACACACTAGTATTTTAACCCGTGCAACGCGCGGGGTTAGACAAAATTTTTTACACTTTTCTAAATTAACTTCAATGCAATATTTTAAATTGAATTTATAAAAAAAACATAATATGTTTTTTATTACTAAGACATTAAAAACAAAATAAAATAAATAATTTAGTATTAAATATTTAATGAAAATTCTTATATTCAAATTCAAAAGTGAACATCTCAAAGATTTTCTAAATCTATATTTTGAAAGACTTTTGGGTATTCAACAATTTTGGTGTAGTTGCAAGGATTTTCGTTATCATCTAAAACTAATATTTTTAATTCTGTCTTTCTTTCTACTTGTGAAACATCACCGCAAAGTTGATCATAAGTGAACACCGAATTAGTTAAAAACAATCCAACAAATGATAATGTTTGACTTTGACTTTGTTAAAAGTCATAGCAAAACATAAAACATTGGGAATAGTCTTTTCTAGAATTTTAAGATTAATTGTGGATCAGATGGTACAAAATTCATTCTAGGTATGTAAACATTTTTCTCGACTCGTTTTTTCAAAATCACAATTGCACCAATAACATTATTTCGTAGCTCTTCAATGATTAGTCTTGTCTCATCACACAATTCAGATATTTGGTAAATGTTTCTCAATATCATATATAATTGGTAGCCCTTTTTTCAAAACTATTTTATGGCTTGAGATTCTCGAATATTTGATTTCATTTAAAACTCAATTGATATTCACTCGCCATGAACACCTACATCTCCATTTCCTTCGCATGAAGAAACAGGAATTCAAGTACTCCTTTTCATCATCGAGAATGAGAGATATGACAAATTTATTTATCATTTCAACTACTTCGAGAGTTGGGCTAATAGTGCCAAATCCTTAAAAAAGAATAATTGTTCATATTCTCTCATATACTTGGATAAATGAAGTCAACGTATTATACTCTTGATAGGATAATTTTTTTCAAAAATAAAAATTTTTGGGGGATCTCAACATCAATAACTCCATTAATCACCTCACATAGCTTTCCATCTTCGGATTTAATTTTCCAATAAAAAAAGTACGTGTGTCCCTATCTGCGCAAGGAGAAGTAGATGAGTGTGGTTGTATATTTTTGGTCACCATAAAAACTATACAAATTGACCATAATATTAAAGATTTGACTGTAGCACCTACAATTTACAAATTAACCATAATGATCGGTACCGTAAATGCATTTTAATTTGTATATGCACCGACCATGCATTTCATATTGATATTTATTAAAAAAATTAAATTATCTTTTTATAAAAACACATTGATAATGCAATATTCTTCTTCAGTCAAATAAACCTTGTCAAAAAATCATATTTTCCCATTCTTCTTTAATAACTTCAAGCACGAGTATTAATAGATCTCTAATTTTTAATCTCTAACCAAAATTATATAGTTAATTTTTTTGTTTTTTTATTTCTTTATTTTTTGTTTCAAAACTATAATTAAATTAAAGGGTAATGATATATTTTTGAATTTAAATTGTCTAGTACTAAAATCAAACCATAATAATTAATATATTCGAACTATGAAATTACATATAGTATTTTTTTTATTTTTACACAATTATAGTCTAGTCATTGCTTTTTTTATAAATAATTTAGTGTTATTTTTAAAATATTTTATATGTTTTAATTTTACATTAATATTGCAATAAATAGAATCAAAACTACCTTAGTTATAACATATCATAAATAAACACCCGCATGACATTGATTTAGAGGTAAAAATGTATCTTATTTATTAATTGAAAGTTTTTTTTGGTGGGGGGAGGGGTATTGAAAGTTTTATTATAAAGCAAATTTTTCTGCAGTCCTATGGTCCTTGCTCATTTTATAGACCTTGGTGTAATAAAATCATAAAAAATTGGATATTTCTTTTAAAATATTTACTTGCTAAACTATGAAAAGTGTAAGAAGGTTCACATTTCACATGTGGACGTTAAGATCATAATTTACCAAAATGTTGATTTTACGTTTTCTATTTTTCAATTTAGGTGGTATATTATGTGTTAAAAAATAAGAAATTTCATAATAGCCGAAGAAAGTATTTATTTAGTAGGTGTCAGTATTTAAATAAATATAATCAAACTAACTTCATTTAAAGGTATCATAAACAAATTCATAATACTTCGTATATTATTTATTTATGAAGAGAATGTTTTGTTTATTATTTAAAAAAATTCAATTTTAGTCCAGTCATCTATTGATTTTTAATTTTTTTAATCTAGTTATTGAAATGTATTATTTGTTTTTAATTTTACATTATTATTAAAATAAATAGAATCAAAACTAATTTCATTTTAAATGATAGTATAAACTAATACTTGTATGAAAATTATTTAAACATGAAAAACTCATCTTATTTATTAATCAATTTTTTTTATAAATGAAGCGAGTAAAAAATATTGTATTGTATTGTATTGGAAAGAGTATTTTCATAAAAATGAATTTTTCTCTTTAACAATTAAATTTATTCAAAGATTTTATTTCAAAACATTGAATTCGCATTTTCTGTACCTTAAATTAAGTGACACATTAAGTGTCATAAAAATATAAAATATATTTATAGGTAAAGGATATATTTTATTTAATAGGTGTCAATATTGAAATAAATACAATCAAAGGAATATCATGTAAATGTATAATGAATAAATATAAAATTTATTTATGGGTGAGGAGCGTATTTTATTTATTATTCTAAAAATATTTTGTAAATTTTATGATTTAATGAACCCGAGATAAGTATTAAAAATAACTGTACGTAGAGTCCTTAAAAAATGATATTTTATTAAAAGTTATAATTTACATGGAAAATAATTTTAATTCTAATTTTTAATTCATGGGTTCAAAATAAGTAATTACTCCATATCATTTTTGAAAAAAGAGAAAAAAATGTGAAATAATGGAAGAGAGTAAATTTGGTTAAATTGACACCTAATATGCCACATGCCAAGCTCCTAATGTGCCACATGTCAAGCTTTGAATATGCCAAATGTCAACTTCTTAGAGAATATAGTCTCCTTTTTATATATAAAGGATTTATTTATTTATTTATTTATATATAAAGGATTCTTGCTTTACCGCCAATTTATACATGACGTGGATATATTTATCTCTCGTTTAATCATGCCAATTACCACTCCATCCTCTTTTTCTTTTCGATTTAGTCTCCAAATGAATATACGAACAAAATATTCGAACTTACTTTTTGCATTCCCAGGACGGGTAGGTTTTTTGTAGCGCTCGAACTTGAGCAATAGGAGCTACATGAATATACGTAATGAATTGAACTATTTTTGCTACGCTATAGCCTAGCCTCTTCGTACTTTTATTGTTTCACTCATTTTGTTTAACATAGTTCAAATTCTCAAAAGTTTGGATGAGGGCGAGGTTACTTTTGTAAGTATAAGAAAGTGACCTGACCTAAAACAAGGACACTTCTTCCGATTCTATTATACCCGTATGGATCAAAATCAATTGCAAAGGATGTCATAACTTGTAGCAACAAGTAGTTGAGGATTTACACATAAGTCTCATATTTAATTCTACCAAAAGCTCATTAATTTCATGGACTAAGATTGGTATAACATGAACATATTAGCATGAAGATAATTGGACCTAAGGTCCACACAATCTACCCTGAAGAGTTTTTTTATTAAAAAATACTTTTGATGTAAGAAGGTACACCAAATGTGATGTGAACCTTAGATCTGCCAAAGATGCATTCAAATCATATTCGTTGACATTGGAATCGGCCTCTCCAAAAACTCCCAAGTGGAACCAAATGCGGATCCACTATATTCCACCAATGAGGTCCTGTGCCTAAAATATAAGACTACAATTTGTGGGTCTAACTTAAATCGGCAATCTAGACGAGCGTAAAAGGGCTGGGTGGGATACAGGGGGGGGGGGGCAGGAGGGTTTTGGAGAAGGTTATAGCTATCAATTTTACCAACAATGCACCGTAGGTGCCCGGGTTATTGGCAATTTGTTTATGGAGCTTACTATTATAATGCATCTCCATTTGGAATATCTATTGTGTTTAGAATTTTAGTTTATTTCTTAAGGATGCAATGCGAATTAACTTTAAAACATTAAAACTAAAGTTTCTATTGACATTATGTTCAACATTTTCAAAGTTAACTAACATTATCAAAAAAGTATTTAAAAAAACATAAAAGCTAATCACAAATAGACCTGGCAAAACAGAACCGGAACCGATTACCCGAACCAAAATATCTGAAACCGAAACCAAAATTATCCAAAAAATGAAGATCTTATCTATAACCAAAAACCCGAAATGATC